TAGACCAAACCCGGATATAAGAGACTTCTACTCCGGTCCCGACAACTCTCTTATATCCGGGTTACACTGTAGTAGAAAACAATTCAATTGAAAATACTCAAAAACGTATCCAATAATAATTTTTTAAAAATATCCTCAACAAAGTGATTAAATATAATTCACTAAGCAATGAACAAAGGCAAAAAATTAATCATTCTTATAACAGAGAAACTTGTTTCACGCATCCTAAAAATTGGAAATTAAATTTATTACAGCTTAGAAAAGCATTAACCAGTTTAGAATAGTCGAAAGGCGGAAAGTAAAGAACAAAGTTAAACCAGGACATAAGTAGTTATTGCAATAAAAATACCTGTAAAAGATTCCCATTGAAGAAAATTACACTCGAAAAAGATTGGATCAATTTTAGTATTTCGTTAACAGACAGAGGATAACAAAGTGTAATGATCAAAGAACGAGATTGCAGCAAATGAATGATCCATGTAAAATTGAACAAAAGAAAAATTATTCGCTTCGGTGCAGTAATTCTTTCATTTGATGACCTTTTAATAAATTTGCCGTTTAATTTGCGCGCACACACACACACACACAGAGAACGCTAGCATGTTTCGGGCAGGGAACCAAATCAAATATTCGAATTCCAATGGTTCGAGGCAGGAATGTAACTCCGGGACTGAAGAAATGGTTAAAACTAGGCACCTCTTAAAAATTCTCGAAAAAAGAATATCATGATGAAAAGAAAAGGCCCCAAAATTGATAAAAACAAAGGTTTATCGTCTAAATTTTATTAAATTTTTTAATTTTTTCTTGCGTGCTCCAAATCTTGGTTAAAATTTTGTTTTTCTTGCGTACGCCAAAGATTAGCGTTTTTTTTCTTTTCTTTGGTGAGCCAAAGATTAGCGTCTTTTTTTGTCGTTAAAAACACATTGTTTCGGAAATTGTTGCAAAATTCAAACAATTGTCGGATTTTAATAAAGTTTACAGAACTTATTCACAAAAGAATGAAATTATTGTTTAACTTTGTTTTTTTATATCTGTTTTCCCCACTTACTTAATTTCTCGAATTTCATAAAATTAAAATTCCAACCTCTTCATATTTATATTAGTTAAAAGCGAGACTTCTTGGAGAACTTGAAACATTTGTTTTTGTCAATCAGAAACATCATTTGCCGAAAATCTGCTCTGAATCATAAAATTAAAAAATGCAATAAAACTATTGACATTATTTAATTAGAAAAACTAAAACTAACAGCAAGGTGTAAGAGAAATAACAAAAAAGACAAGATTTATTAAGAGCTATGAAGAACAGGAAATTGCCAATGTAGTAAAAGAAAGCGGGAAGAAAGACTAACCATCATTTGTGAGAAGACAGAATGTATGGTAGTCAACAAGTGAAAAATCCGAAGATGCCAACTATGAATATCAAAATCAAAGGTACAGAAGTTTAAATATCCGGGATGTGTTTTAACAGAGGCCAGAAAATTTAACACCAAAATTCGAAAGCGGATTGTAATAGTAAAAGATGCCTTCCCAAAACTAAACAAATCAATAAGAAACAGAAAAAAAATCGATATTTGCCTGTATTTCTGAGATGTGATATTGTAATTATTTTTATTTTTCGGACTGTTGTCCTCATCTTTGTCATATTTACAACGTTTCTGTCATTGAACGCTCCGGCCTTCTTCAGATGATTGGAATTTCGAACTGAACCCTTTATTTCGTTCACCGGGGTAGATTGTTCTAGTTCCACGTGCTATGCCTCTTCTTCTGATGTCTCGGTTATCTCCCTTTAACTCAACACTCCAAGTTTTTGTTCACCTCTGTAGTAGCCAGTTACTGAACTCACAAACCCTTTGAGTCAAGTCACTGGATCTAACCAACGCTTTTATCCACTGGGCCATGTGTCCTTGAGCGAAAAATCGTGAATATGACAATAAAGATGAGGACAACTGTTCGAACAATGTAAATAATGGAAAGAAAATTTTCGCTTGAAAGAAATGAAGTTGCTGAACTGCTATCTCATATCAAGCTCTTCTATAACAATGAATGCTAGACGATTTCCTCACAGATTAAGATAAGACTTGAATTAACAGAAATATGGTTCTGCAGAAGGATGCTGAGAATACCATAGACAGAGCATGTAAGGAACGAGGTAGTTTTTTTTTTTTTTTTTTAAGAAACTGGACTGATTATCTTTTTTTACGGTTTATCAACTTTTAGCAGGTTATTTAAAGCCAGAAAATACATTTAGATTGTAAGAATATTTTGGATACCATAATGATGTACTGATATAATTCTTACTAATTAACCCATAACTAAGGTGAGAAGAGGTGTATTCATACATTTCCAAAGGGTATTTGCGTGTAAGTGAATATCACGAACTCGTCTGGAATTGAAACTTACACCACCTGGTATTCTCAAGCGGTCACCCATCTGGGTACTGACCAGTCTCAACGTTGCTTAACTTCGGTGATCGTACGAGAATCGGCGTTTCAACGTGGTATTTCTATAAGCCTTTAAGGAAACTGAAAGCAAAAAGGACAGTTATATATACACAGTTGAAGTTTCTGGGGAAACAATGGGGGAAAGAAGGCTTGGAAAATTTGACACTCAGAGGGCATGTTGAAGGCGTGGAAGACAGCGTTTAAGCTCCCTCACAAGCTTATGTAAGTGTATAGCAGCAGGTGGAGGTATAGTAAAAAGACGGACATTGCTAAAAACTACGAGGGATAGGAAATTGTGGAAAGCTATGATCGCTTACTTCCTGAACGATCACAGTACATAGAATAATAATACGGCTTAATTTGTTCTCTATTCGCATTAAGGTTTGTTCCCAGAAAAACCAAAAGGCATTACTTTCTGTATCACGTGGAGTTGCAGATAAGCAATTACGAGGAACAAAAACTTGAAATTTTTGTCCAATAGCCCACTGCTCTAACCATTAAGCGAAACCCGGAATTACACATCAACTGTAAAGTTCTACAAATCGCAAACCTGACTGTAGGAAAGAGCCAACGTGATTGAGTCACGTATGTGAACAAACAATGAGGTAGATTCAGGGGCTAGACATATAAATACAACTATGTACAACGCTATGAGAGGTGGGACTGGAGCCATCCCCTCGTGCGCAATCAAAACGTGCCTAGAGCCTGTTCCGCCGACGTGGTCGCTAGAATAGATCTCTTCTCCTGAAATATTCGAATTATTTACAGTCGGCTGAAGTCTGGTATGAAAGGAGAAAAAGGTTTGAAGTAAAATAAGTCATATCAAGTTTCATAAGAAGCTTGATAGAAAAAGATGGAAAAGAAAAAAAAATTACGTAAAAATGTAAGATACTGTTTGAAAAACGGACAATTACAAAATTGAAATTTACCTGCCTATCTACCTAGCCACACCCACACACACTCTCTCTCTCTTTTCTCTCTTTTGCAATTCTATCAAAGGTATTGAAGTACTTAAAGTGAGAAATGGCTTCCTCACGAGGAGAAATGGTGGAAATGAGGTTTTCCTTTAGTTTCTTTTTTGCAATCAGTGGCTTGCGTCATCAAGCTGCGATAAGGTTAGATATAAAGTAAGAAACGCTCACTCACACACACACACACACACACACACACATACATATAATATATATATATATACACACACACACACACACACACACAGGTATATCGATACACCTGCAACCTGATGATAAAAAAAGCCTTTATACAACAAATATTTATTTTTCGGACCGGAGAAACTTTGAAGATGGCTGACTAAGAACGGACGAAAGTTTTCACGAAAGATAGCGGTTAAAATACTACAACTGGCAGTATTATTAGCAATAGTAACAGCGTCCAATCTTTTATTACGTTGAGTCATAAATAATTTTTGTTTTGTTTTGTTTTTTTATTTAGTAACTTAATTCTTCAAATAACGTAGTTACATTTTATTCATAAATATATACAGAGTCCGCCAAAAATGATGTATACACACTTCAGGAAAGGTAAAACTTGCCTTTCGTCGTTTTATATACTTTTACCTCTGGGAGGGGGAGCCATAAAAGATGTTGTGTATCGCAGAAAACCGGGCCTTAGATAAGAAATTGAAAAAGTGCTGCAATCTCACTGCACACTTTTGTCAACTTTTGCCCAAGAAGTAGTTCGCCACACGAATAAATATCTGGAAGCTAAAGGCCTCCATTTTGAGTCCAAAGGTAACTTGTATTAATCTCGTGAGTCTGAATAAATTTAGTATTACAATATCTGTACGAGTTTTTCCTTTCCTGAAGTGTGTATTTTGGGGGGCGGACTATACACCATTATTACAATTACTTGTTGCCGCTTATCGGGCTGCTCTTCGATACCTTTTGAATAGGTTTTGAATGGGAAAAAGTTTCTCAACGAACTCTTGAATGTTGTTTTCATTGGAGTACGTTTTCTCCATCAAAATGCTTTACAGCGATCGAAAGAAAAAGGCAATAATCTGTTGGTGCGAGGCCAGTTTAATATGGCGGGTTGAGTAGAACAAAACTGTGACACTATTTAGTACTGGTAAATAATAAGGCTGATGAATAGAACGACAGATATACCGACAGACCACTGGTAAATAAGAAGGGTTAATGGATAGAGCGACCAATAAACCATCGGGAGAAAGATTGAAGATTTTATTTCTCAAAAAGCCGAAATTTCTCAAGTAACCGAAAGATTAGCATAAAACAACATATGGTAATATTCTGACAATTGATTGATGACCATCGCTAAAAGTGCTGATCATAAAAACAGAAGTGGAGAGACTTAAAATCATAATTCGCAGATAAGGGTTTTCTTGGGGAATGTCTCTGACGGGACCGGAAGTCAAAAGCCATCTGGCTTGTGTCTAATTCTGAACAAAAACATAGGACTGATGTCGGAGATTTTAATTTTTTACGTAGGAAACAAATTTGAAATGATAATTCCTTTGATTAACGATCTGAGGATTAAGCCATGCCAGGCAGTCGAGAACCATTAATCGAAGTGGTAGGCGCAGATGAGACACCAAGGAAGGTGGAGGAGCTACCCACGCCCATTGAGGAGTGTTAATGGGAGATGCTAATAAGAGAAGGAAGAAGTATAGGGCAGATCAATACCTGCGACTGCCACCCATGGAAAAAGGGGATCTCCCAAACTGGGAAGTAATTAATTTTCAGCAGAAAGGGATTCTTTGTAAACGGTAAGGAAAATATTGAATTCCCCAACCGCGTCATGCTCCACACCGGTTGGGTGAATGTCAGTAAGTACGAAGGAGTCGAAGCGGCAAACAGAGAATTGTTCCAGACACCGGAAGAGAAACGACACACGTGAATGCCTGCCGGAAGAGAACCTCCGACATCAGCCTTGTACCAAACTTCGTCAAGCCAGCAAAGTGTCACGTCCAACTTAAGAAGCGGGTTAGGTCGATGAACTTCCGCATGTGAACTGCTAGATTTTGACAACGTTTTTGAATCACGTTTTGTACGAAGGAACGTATATAAAAAAAAATTATTTTTTATTCAAATTATTTCCTTTTCATGCATCCTCATTCCACTTGGACCAACCCAATACGAAGATACTTGACGACGATTCGATCCTGGCCGACCTTATGATCAAAGTAATCACAGCGTGAGATAAGGCAAGGCCTGGATCGAAGCGATCACTTTATTGATCAGCCGTGGGTATCGGACCTTTGGACAACCGAGGGGGAGAAACTTGAGGATGACAGACCAACCGAGTTCCAAGGTTTTCACGAATGCGGCCTCGCATTGTCATGGAGGAAAACATTTTCCCTGTCATCCACTGTATACGCTGCCATTGCCATGCACAAAATAAGGTATGTTAGTATAATGCGAATTTACCTTTAACTGCCACGTTTGATTAGTAGTTGAGATGATAGATTTATCATTAAAATTGGTTCCTAAAAACAGAAAGTACTTATCACTCAACCTAATAATAGTAATCTAATGTAAACTATTTGGATCAAACAAAAACCAACAGACGTGAAAAGTGCACTATTGACTTGCTGCAACCAAGTGAAGCAGGAAATGTCTACAGTACAGAAGTTAATGTTTTAAAAAATTATTTTCCATTTGATTTCCTTTGTAATTTCGAGTTAGTATGTCTTGTATTTTACAATTTTTAACTTTATTCTCGTTTATTCCATTTTTTTCAATGCTTTTCAGTTAATTTTGTCTATTTCCTTTTTTTTTCTCTGACCAATATATGATAATTTTATTTCATGTATTTATTCTTCTTGCACATTTATTAAACAAGAAAAGTTTCCATTAAAGACTGAGTGGTTAGCAGTAGTAGTAGTAGCGCCCATTCTGCAAATTACTGGTGAATTAATATTATTTTAATCAAGCAAATTAACAATAGACATTAAATATGCAATATTTGTCTATATTTCTAAGATGAGGTATTGTAACTATTTATATCGTTCGGATTCTTGCCCTCATCTTTATTGCCATATTCACAACGTTTCGGACGTTGTACGCTCCTAACTTCTTCAGATAATACATACGTTGGGATTTCGCACCGAACCCTTTTAATCCACCGGAGTAGGTTGTTCCAAAAAGGCATGATACATAGAATTAGAACAATCTAACTTCGTAGACTAAATAAAGAGTTCGGTTCGAAATTCCAACGTATATCACCTGAAGAAGGTCGGTGCGTAAAACGGCCGAAACCGCGTGAATATGGCAATAAAAATGAGGACAATAGGCTGAACGATGAAAATTGTGTAAATAATTAAATTTGCATCACGTTAAAACACCGGTTCCCGTACGATCACCAAAGTTAAGCAACGTCGAGACTGGATAATGACTCGGAGTTGACTCAATTCCATTCGGGTCAGTTATATTCAGTTATGCGCAAATACTCTTGAGAAAGGCATGAATCCACTTTTTCCGACCCCAGCTATGGGTTAATTAGTAAGACTTGTATCGCTAAACCATTAATATCTCCAAAAATAAAATTGTGCACAAAAATACTTAGATTTCGGCATTAAATAACCCATAGAGGTGTTGATATGCCGCTAAAGAAAAAAGCCAACCAACACTTTTATAAAAAGTAAATTTGTAAATTCTTACACGTAGAGCGAGATTTGCCCCTCTGCATCCGTCACTCACATACATTCCCTATCACACACCTATATAAATCGTCACAAATGCTGGTCTGCCGAATAATCCATATTCTCCTGCAACTTATGTTGGGTGGGGGATTGCGACTTTCGTGGAATCGAAAGTTAGTGAATATTTCGAATTTTCGTTCGTAAGATCAAGCCAAAGTCATCAACATATCTTTTCGTCGGTTTGTCGGTGACTAAACCGACTCCCTTGTCTAACTCCAGTAGGTGAGGAGAGTAACTAGGAGTTCCCAATAAGAATTTAAAAAAAAAATAAAATCAACAAGCTGTTAACTAGAATTGGTGTCTCACCGTGGAGAACATAACGGAAGGCCATTATCCCTCCCAGCAACAATCCTGGACATATCAGAAATATCAGATAAC